TGTAACATTACTTTAAAATCAATGCTACACGTAGCGCCCACAACTCTAAACAAATTAAAAGTGTTTGCTTATAGGTATTGGAAACGATGTTTAGGCACCACCATATTGGAAATTCCGACTGTACTGAACGGAACGCTATTACTTGGTGTCTGACATCAAACCCAGTTCCGAGTTCTGAATTCCCAGGTAACTGGAACGCAGCATTGAATTGTGTAGCCTGTTTGAATGATATAGGAAACATGACTGCCCTCTAGTGGTAAGTAATGACTGGACAGCTGCAAGTTTACAACCAATTTAAAAAAAAAAAAAACAGCAGTGATGTGGAGTTTATTACTTCAATACAATGAATAAAAACATTTTCATTTAATATTCTGACAGCATTGAACACCACAGCTTGGTTTATCTGTGTTTCTTGAAGGCTGTAAAAAGAAGAAAACATGAATAATCATCTATTCATTGCACATCATATACCCATTCCCTTTTCCTTTATAACAGACTCACCTCTCCTCTTGGTTTTCTTTTTCATGAGTTTCTTCTTCTTCTTTGGTCTACCACTTTCCCCATCCTGGGGTAATTAGACAAAAAAAGTATCTCAGAACTGACAAAGAGAGCAACACATACATATCCCATAATCCACTGGCGAACCTGGTAAAGACAAAGTTCCTCCATATATGCCATTCATTTGTGAGAAAGTCAGAGGTCACTGAAAACCCACCTGTCCACCTTCACCGCCGGTCAGAGCTGTGATGTCCCCGAAGTGTGTGATGGCGCTCAGCTGGCCGGACATGGCCATCGTGCTCCTCTTCCTGGCTTTTTTCTCGTGCTTCGGCATATTCAGACGCACCATCATCGATTCCTCGTAATTTTTCCTGTAAAGTAGCAATTGGTTCAATATTCTTAAACTCCCACTACATTTCCCTGTAATGGGAGTATTTGGTGGAAGTCTTTCTAAAAAACACCAGAGGAGTGACACAACACAAAAACCCTAATAAAATTCAAACAGATGGATGTCTGAACAGACTGCAAAGAAGCCATCAAGTCTCCACCTGTGGAGCTCGTCTCGGCTTTCCCTCTCTGTCTGGAAGTCTCGTCTGTCCCGGATCTCCTCCGGAGCGTCGCTGTACTGCTGCCTCAGCTCCTGGATCACGGAGCTCCGCAGAGCTGCTCGTCGCTGCCGCTCCGTCTGAGCCTTCTTCCTGTCCGCTTCTGTCATGTCACCGTCTGAGGGGAAAATTGGGCGTTTTAATATCCGATACCGAGAAACCGCCGTGAAACAACTCTGCTCAATCGGAGGTGAATGTTGTTACCATAATGCACTGGCGCAATCTTTGGCGGTACATATTTCCTGCCACTAGAGTGAGCTGCTTTCTTGTCGGAGGCTGCCTTGTTCTTCGTTTCATCCTCAGAGTCCTCCGATTCGCTCAGCTAGGCAATAAGACACAAAAGAATCTCTACTTTTTTTTTGTCTCTTTACCCAAACTTAAACAACTTCATTCCAATGTAGTGAGAGAAAGACTCTTTCATTTAACTAAAACTCTTCGGCAACAAGCGGAAGAACTTACTTTGCTGATGAAATTGTCAGGATTTGGACGCAGCTGGAGTGGATCATTTTCAGCTAAACTCAACAAAAACAGATAAAACATGTATTCAAGTCAGGCTGCTTAAGAACTGATGACCTTTCACATATGATATTTAATGGAGGGGAAAGAAAAATAAAGTCTATACATTACCCAAACTTCCAGTAACAGCAGTGCGCACCAGTTTATCAATCTGGTACTTCAGTTTGTGGTCTAGCGGTCGCATTTTCTCTAGCACCTACAAAAGAGGGAGAAAGCTGAATAAAGAGTGAAACCTGCACAGGCAGGAACCTGCGGCGTGTCTTGCAGACATTCTTACGGTTCTGATGGTGACCACTCTGCTCAAAGCTTCGCTGTCTTTTATCTTGCCTCCTTCGGCCTTGATGCTGATGAGATGAGTGAGGTCCTGAAGGTAGAAGAGCAGGAGGTTGTAGCGAAGGTCCAAGAAGGACAGACCCTGTGAGGAACCATCAGAAGCAAACAGTTTATTATTGTTCTTTTTATTAAAGAATCAGAATGTTTTCATTAAATATCTACAGTACCTCAAAGAAATGTTCATACTTCTTGAACTTTTTGACATTTTAGCACAGAGAAATCACAATTTATTAGACTGTTATGTGACTGCAAAGCAAAAAAGTAGTGCAGGATAATTAGTTGCAGCTTTCTTTTTATAAAAAAACCCCCCAAAAAACAAAACAGCATATGTTGGTATTCAGTTTCTGGAAGCAGTGGCAGCATCATGGCATGGGGATGCTTTTTTTTTTAAACACTTTTTTTATTATTATTTTTTACAAATAGTATGAAAAATGTGTTGCACATTTGCATTCAGCCCCTCTGAGTCAGCATTTTTGCAACTTTGTTGCTATAATTAGTAATTTTTCTGACAAAAATAATAATTAAAAAAACTACATTGGCCAAAATTGAAATCGTCAATTTTTTAAGAAAGCAAAATTGGTGCTACCATATAAAAAAAACCCCCATGTTTGACCATTTATCTGATTATTTCCAAGATTATGGTTTCAACTTGACAAAATGTAAACAAGTTGAAGAGGTATGTGATGGTATATCTTAAACTAAAATGTGTTCACAGATTTAGGTCATATAGTTACAAAGACTCTACCCATGTTTACTTACCTTTGAAGTGTTGAATACTCCATTCTTAACTTTAGTCAGCAGCTCTTGAACATAACTGGTTACTGATACTACCTAAAGTAAAACAAAAAGGTCAAACCTTTATCTATGGCGAACCACTACAGTAAAAGCAATAGATACATAGTATTTTCCAAAGAACCACTGGAAGGTAGTGAATATACGCTACTTTATAGAACATCCAGTTCCATTGCAATAGAATGCTACACCTTCTGCCACCATCTAATAATCTCGAACAAAGTTATATGTGATGCATAATGTGCTTCAACTGTTTCATTTAAGATCTTTCGAGCAGAAGCTGCGACATTTTCAAAGCTGAGGTTTAAAGTAAAGCCTCAACATCCATTTATTTCTATGACATACAACTAAACTCGCTTTGTTGCTAACCTTACCTGTTCTGTGAGATTATTCAGCAGCTGCACAGCTTTGGGTAAATCACTTTCGATTAGATCCTGTGAGACAGACAAAAAAATAAATAAAAAATACAATACATGTGAAATAAAATAAAATTTAAGAAAAAACATTTGAACACTTAAGTAGCAAAAGGCGAGCAGGGCGTTTATCCGTAAGCTTCATCGACTGCGCTTTAATATTAACATATCATAGCACAAATATTTAGAGATGTCCTCGGTATTTAAACGACTTTCAAGAACATTAAAGAAACCCTTTGTACGAATACAATTTATAAAATATCTTAGCAAGATGGATTTTACTCACGTTGTCAACAGGAGCAGCCATTTTAACTTCACCCGACCTACGGAAGCCGCAGGGAGACAGTCTTCTTGCCGCGCCTGGTGTAATGACGGGAGCTCAAAAATATTTCCATCCAAATAAAACAAATGGGGCGGAAATTCTCTTAATCAAAAATGTCTCCCGAAGATTAAAAAAATAAAAATGAAAAACGTGTCCGTGCGCCGTATCGTATCAGAGAGGATACTTTACTTCTAGAGGGGGATTTTTTTTAGCTGTATTATCACCCCCATACATTTTTATGGCGACTTACTTTTAGCCCAGATCAGGTCAGGTCGCCACGTAAGTTCAACAATACTTCCCAATCTAAAAACAGGTGTGTACTGTCTTTTTCTTTCACAATCTTTTATAGGCTGGGTGTCAAGATAATCTGAAACATTTTAAAAATATTGTCTTCAAGGCAGCTGGACTGCATTCAGCAGAATAAATGTTGAACTTCTATTTCTTTCTGTGTCTCAATAAACTATTGTACAATAGTTAGGTCAAATCTAGTTGTGTGTGTGTGTGTGTGTGTGTGTGTGTATGTGTGTGTGTGTGTGTGTGTGTGTGTGTGTGTGTATTATGACCATATTATGCCAGCTCTATCTAAGGCCCATAAGCTTAAATGTCAAAGGAAAATGTATGTTTAACAGCAAGTTATGGTATCTAATTCAGTCACTTTTTTTATCATGCACACATATTTTTAAAAAATTACTATATGCATTCTTATTATGCTTATTTATCAGATTAAAAGTACATTTTAGCTGGCATTAAGCATACTTTTCATTAGACCTACATTTCTGTAAAATTTTTTTTTTCTTAGTCTGAGAATATTCTAATCTTAGCGGCCATGTTTTCATTAGCTGTAAGTGAGGAAAAAATAATTAAAATGAAAGAAAAAATATGCTTTAAAACATCACAGAATCTATATAATGTGTGTTTCACTTTATGCATTTACTTACTGAGAAACACTTTTCAACAATATTTCAATGTACTGAATATTACTGCGTATGATGTTTTCCATACGTCGTGGTGCAAAGGATCACCAGGCAACATGAAAACTGTAGCTGCCCTTCTTAAGATTTCACAATGCAACCACTTTTCTGATACGACCGTGTGCTCTTTCCAAATCATTTTATTTGAAATCAAACCTTTTTATTGGGCTTGAATCATATTCTGGTTCACAGTTATATGAAATAGTAACATTAACAGTCAAGATGTTGAAAATGATCTCATATTTTACAGGTATGTTCTGCTGAAGCCTTTGGTTGACGTTCCGCATTTAGCCCAATGCTACGCTGTACTTCAGGGGTGTCAAACTCCAGTCCTTAAGGGCCGGTGTCTTGCAGTTTTTATATGTGCCACAGGTACAAAACGCTGGAATGAAATGGCTTAATTACCTCCTTCTTGTGTAGATAAAGTTCTCAAGAGCCTTGTTAATGACCTAATTATTCTATTCAGGTGGGATGCAGCAGAGGCACATCTAGAAATTGCAGGGCAGTGGAACTCCAGGACTGGAGTTTGACACCCGTGCTGTACTTTTCCCCCCCAACACCTAATGTCCCTCAGACAAAATCGCCTACAAATTAATTACAAACGTTAAAGTCAATTTTTGAGGGGATTTCAAAATAGAGCTACTCACCTACGACTGCTTTACGTAGGTTATTTGTCACAAATCAGCTCTCATCTGGCAACCTGGGACGACTTACCAAGTCAGTGTGAGAATCACCACTGTTAGGGTTAATTGGGGCTGATCAGATAAAGACATCCTGGATGTGTTGCCTCACAGTTCAGGCCTCTGGGATAACTGCTGAACTTGATAACCACCTGTCCTCCAGAGATGCTAATGAGGCAAAATGGTAATTCAGGGATCCTGGCTGCGGTGGGTGACTCAGTGTTGAGTTTTTTTTTTTTTTTGGGATTTCAGAGGAAAGTATGAATGGAAGTTGATGCATCTTCCTAAAAAGGATAAATGTGTAACAGTTAGCGACTGAGAAAGTGACAGAGAAAGAGAGAGAGAAAGAGAGAGAGAGAGAGGAAGTGCTGATGTGATCATCAGAGGGGTACCTGCCTCTCGGTGTCCTGTCTTAAAGTCATTGCGGCTTGCACCGTCTGAGGAGAACTGCAGAGTTTGAGGAAGAGTCATGGTAAGTCACAACCTAATTTTGTCGAAAAGTCCAAATAACTAAATGAGGATTTCGGGGTTTAAAAGAAAAGAAGGAGTAAACGGTCACAAATTAATAAAAACTGTATATATTCAGGAACTTCTATGGGAACCATCGTTCGATGGTCAAACTGACTCAGAAGGTTGCTGTGTGAATATTAGATTTAGGGATTCACCGTTTTCTGTTGTACTTTACTGTTTGATGTTGAAAAAAGAAATTGAGAATAATGCTAAAATTCACTTTGGAAGATGTTTCACATGTCAAATGTAGAAAGTAGCTTCTACACTTTGATTGCCAGTTTTTAAAAATGTTACATTTTACATTCAATGTAAATCTAATCTAAAGATGCCCCAAGACAGGCTTTAAAATGTTACTTGCTGTTTTTTTTTTAAAAATCAAATATATATCAATAAAGCATATCATGAAAAAGTTAATATCTTAATAGTAACAATATATATTTTTTGACATGAATAAAAACATGTATGAGGTAAATCCATCTCCCATGTGCCCAGTTTTATGGTTTTAATATTTTTAACGGCCTTTGAGAAAAGAAAAATACAAATGATATTATAACATGAAAATAAAAAGTCATGCAGCAAAGGCGCACAAAAAGCGACTTGGTAGTTTTTAGTTCTGCTTTCTTCTGAAGATGAATTTCATTGTCTTTTTTTAAAAAATGTTTAAACGTGAAGTTGTTTAACGACACTTATATTAATCCATTACATTTCTGGGTGTTTACAAATTGCTGAATTTGTAGCACGAGAGCTAATCAGATTCTGGGGGGGGGGGAAAATTAAACTAAAGCTCAAAGAACGTGCCTGAACTCGACTATTTTGACTGAAGTAATTCAAGAACAAAAAAGCATGGGGCCTAATCTAATTCTGGCCATCAAACGCCACCCGCAGATGTCAGATTCCAGAGTGTCGTCTGTCATCCAGGAGTGGGTGAGTTCGTATCCAGGTCAGCCTCACAGCCAGCCCCTGAATCCCATCGCCTCCAACCAGGCCGCACAGTCCAGTCAGATGTCTCAGATGGACATGATCTCGTACGGCCAGTCTCACACGGGGATCATCAGGGGGATCACTGACGAGAGAGTAGCCGAGCAGATGATGGGACTGCCCTACCTGTCCTACAACACGTCCTGCCTCAGCAGCAATCCCAACTCGGGGACTTCGAACCACCACCAGACCCACGCCGGTGCTCAGCAGGTGAGTCCAGCGCGTTGCGTTTGTGGGGTGCGTGACGTCTAACGTAAGCGCCGCTGCTCAAACACCCGTTCCCGTTTCTCTACCCAGGACTTCTCGCCCTTCCTGCTGCCCAGAGCCCCGGTGACCAAGAGAAGCATCAGCAAGGACAGCGCGGAGTACCGCCTGCGGCGCGAGAGGAACAACGTCGCGGTGAGGAAGAGCCGGGACAAGGCCCGTAGGAGGATCCTGCTGACCCAGCAGAGGGCCCTGCAGCTGCAGGAGGAGAACCAGAAGCTGCAGATGAAGATAGGACAGCTCACCCAGGAGCTGGACACTCTGAAACACATCCTGTCACAGCGGCACCTGCAGGGAGGCGAAGACGGCACGCCGCAGGAGTCTGCTATTTGACCTTTTTGCCCCCCCCCCCCCCCAGCAGGCCTCGCGGGTGTCAGAGCTGCCTGTCAGGATTAGGCACAAATGTCCGAAAGACTGAAAAAAAGAGTCTGTTTTACACTAACATTTGTGATTTTGGGAAGTGGAAAGATTGACTTTAGCATAGGTTTAAAATGTGTGTTTGTTGAAGTTGCATAACGGCAGAAAAAAAAGAAGAAAAAAGCAGAACTAACTCAAAGTGACCTAGCAACCACACAGAGGTTATGTCCACCACCCTTCTCATTTTAATGCATCTCTTTGTGTAACGTAACTTGCCATGTCTGCCCAATTTTTCTTACTGCGCTCACAAGACGAAAAACTAAGAAAATGAAAAGAGCCTTCTTCACTGTGCTGTAATATTTCACAAAGCGTTCACACTATGTAATTTATCAACTGAATTGAAAGCTCATAGATTTGGATAACAGAAGAGTTTCTGAAAACAGACTTGAGTTTGACTTTTTAACTTTAATAGGAGAATGGCTCAGAATGAATAAACTCTAGTTCAGTTTTGATTCCACATTAGTGTCTCTTCTAACTCATCAATTTTAATTGGCAACTCTTTTTTTTATTAGCTTTCTGTCACTAGGTAAGGATTTTGAAACATAAATTCTGTTTAAGCAAAAATGAAACCTGAGGATTTTCTACATTTGCAAGCATTGCAATCCCATTCTAATTAACTTTATCATCTGAAATGGCATTTTTTACCTGCTTTTGCTAACCAGTGTTAGTGGCACATTTTATCACAATAGAATCGTGAGGCCTCACTTTGGGCTCAGAGTACATTCCTCTCCCAAAGTTATATGCTGAAAGGGTCAAAACTGGCAACGTAAAGAAAGACTGATCATGCCTAAAGATAGCCGAAGCGCGGTAAATGTGCCAAAGTTGGAGCTACGTGTTGGGGAAGGCAAAAATAAATAAAAAATGATACCGAACTGGTGCGATCTGGAATTGAACCCGTGTTCATGGCTTCTTTGAAGATTACTTTCGCAGTTTTACTTTAAAAACGAAACTTTTCCCAAGATGGCGTGTGATCCGTGACGGGCTTGTTTGAAATAAAGTCTCTTTTATTCAGAATTCAAGTCTGTGTCTGAATTTATTTTTTATTTTAATTTTTTAGAGTATCCTCAGGTAGGCATCTTCGAAAGCAGCTGAACCCACGCTGTTTATAGCCTACACGTTACCAGTCTATTTTTAGCTGAGGTTAACAATGTAAATATGGAAAAACAGACTGCAAAAGAAAATCTGAGCTCTGACAAATCGTGAACTTACAGTCAAGCTTTACCTTAGGTGTAGCTTCTGATGAATATGAAGGTTTGTTGACTTTAGCTGACGCTTGATTGAACAGGTAAATATTTCCGCTCCTAAAAGTTTTTAAAAATCTAATTTAGAAAGTGAATAGGTTGATGTCCAATTCGTAACTGATTACATCTTTCAGTTTATGATTAAAATGAGAATTTCTCAGCGTTTGCTAACTAGCTAACTCTTGCAGAAGCATGTATGCTCAGAGCTAGGAAATAAACACAGCAGAGGTTTCTTGTGTGTTGAGTCATGACACATTTGTTTCCTTAAAATTAAACTATGTTCTAATTTAAATTAGGTCGTAAATGGCGACATCTTTAATTTAAGAGGTACTTTTATATGCTTTGATAACTTCCAGGTCATAAAAGTTGAGCTTTTGCCACATAAGGCTACTGATTTTAGTTTGGGTTTTTTTTTTTACTTCAGTTAAGACTAGCTTCTTGAACAAGTAAATATTAATTACCCCAAAATGTTTTTGTATAATAAATTTAAGTATTTCATGATATGTTGCCTAATAGGGACAATTTATCCTTTAAATAACTATTTTAGCTTGTGCTAACTAGCTAGCAGTTAGCCGCCAATCAAGATAAAACTTTGTCAAAGTTATTTTTCTGTAGAACATGTAAATATCCTTGCCCCTATATGTTCTAAAAATACACATATATAAGGATTAAAAAGCTAAACTAGAATAAAATAACACCAACTTGTAACAAACTATAATTAATGCTATTTTCAATCATGTATTAAACAACTCACTGAAAAATAGCTTACGTAGCATATGGTCCCTTTCAGACACACGTGATAAAGGACATATAATCTCCTTTTGGGTGTGCTTATTTTCCTTTGTGTGTGTGGTAGTAGGTTTATGTTTGCATAAAAAGGTAAAATAAACCCAAAGTGTTCGCTAAACAGAATTGCTGAGCTATAAATGTGCAAATATCACACACCAACTGTTAAAGGTTTAAAGTTAGGTAAATGAAAACAGCATTTTTAGTTGAAAATGTATATCTTTTTTTATATATTATGATGGTTAAATTACTTAAAGAAGATGCAACATAGGAAGAAATGCCTCTTTTGTTATACATAAAAAAATACATATAAAAGGAGTTGTTTTACTAGTTTTAAAATCAGATATGAAGAGACAGCTGTTCAGAACCACAGCGACGTTGAGGACCTCAACTTTAACACTGTTAAGAGTCTTCAAAAACTTTTCCACTGTGTCTCGCAGACTGATTTGTTATCCGACTTCTACTTTATAACCATTGCCTAATTATTTTTACCTGACATTCGAAGGTCCGTCAGGGCTGATTGTGAAGCGTTGTTGCTCAACAGTTACACAACCCCCTGTGGTTTGTAGTGAAGGCGATGAAATCTAAAAATCTAAGTGCCTCCGTCCATAAATATTTGATTTGTGACCACCGTGATGGGACTCTCTTGACGTAATTTCACCAGATTGTTGTTGTGGAATATGGTTTGCAATTGTGCAGTAATTCTTGTAAAAAAAAAAAAAAAAAAAAAAAAAAAGAAAAATTTTTAATTTTTTTTTTCCC